AAATCAGCAGAAAAGAGTTTTTTAGTGAAGTAAAATTGCTACTGTTCTTAACATTTGTATGAAAACTGATTAAAGTATTATTGTTGTATTAACACTTACAAATAATAAAAATTTGTTTTTACATTTAAGTATTATTGTACTAGTAATTAGTTACTATTTAAAGTCAATTCATTATTAAAACTATATTTTCTTTGTATATATTTTTATCATTTAAAAAATATTTTTGTTGTTGAGAAAAACAACTGATTTTTTAGTGTTTTAGGTTGGCAAAGTATACTTTCTCTTTAATTTTGTAGAGAGAGAGAATTTCTTGTTCAGGAACAAAGTTCCATTGTTTTGAGAATAGGCACTAAATTATTAATTAAAATCTCTTCTTTTTCAATGACATATTTGTTACTCTCTCCATTACCATTGTTGGTGGCAGTATTTTTTTTTTATATTTTATTTAAAACCATACTACAAATTTCATGTTCTTTGATGATTTGAACATTAGTTTTGCAATGGAAGGCTTCAGTTGTATCATCTTCATTTAACATTTCCTCACATGTTTTGTTAATTGGAAAATTTTTGTCTTTTATTTTTGATATTTGAAAATTTTGGAATTCATCATTGTTTATGAAGTATGGTAGCTTTACATATATTAGGTGAAACATTTTTTTGTTTTTTCCAAATATCTGTGGATATGCCTTTCCATGATTTTGCAATGCTGTACCCAGCAGATTTCTTAATAGAATGTATAAAAAATTCTCAGAAAATTGAACATCTGTTTTAAAAAGGCTACTTTACATCTGCATTTTAATGTGTACAAAATGGCAGTGGAGACATTATTTTTTACTAAAAGTTTAATTGATGTACGAATTAAACAGTTGTCTATATAATTAAGGTAGTTTTTGCATTATCTGGTAAACCAACTAATACCATATGTTACTGAGTGCCAGCTATGAAAAGATTTTTCAAAAAAATCCGTCATTATACAAGCAATCCATGCTCATTTATATGAATGCTGGGGGATGAAGAAAGCCTTTACTCCTTTAAAAACCTGAGGTCACAAAATTTTTCCATTTACAAAAAATATCTTTGCAAGTTTCTGCAGCATTCTCACATGCCAGAATGTTTACTTTTGCTTTCAAATCTTTGATGCTGAGACCATTTCACCAGAGATACCCAAAGAGTTTTGGGGCATATATTGCCAGAAAAGATCTCTTTCCATCAATATTATAAACTTGCTCTGGAGATATCTTTTTGATATTAATGAGTTTGATAAACTCATCTACAAATTGTTCAGCTACTTCAGTATTAGCTAAAGTTTCAACCATGGCAGTTTTAAAATTTGATTAACCATCCTATTGAGTAAGTTGGTTAACTCTTGGGGGTTTCACATATTATATACAAGGATAGATAAAATGAAGTGTTTTGCCACATAACACTCATTGGTAAAAAATGTGGTATGCTACCCGGTGGGTGTTTAAAAGGATAATAAAATACAGAAGTATTCATTATTACAGCAGGTAATAATGTATGCGAGCAAAGGAAGTCCCCTTCCCCATGCTTAGGAGAATAATTGGTTTGCGGCATATTTGCCCTTCTCTCTCTCTCTCTCTCTTTTTTTTAACTATTGTATTCTCTCTTCCTGTATTATGTCATATAAAAGGGAGGAAAAAGCATTTGTGACCTGGGTAATAGATTATGTCAGTTACTAGACATCCATTTTTTTGGATTTTTTTATTGTGTATGTTTATGTAGAGAGAGACAACACCCACACACATACATGCATATATGTAAGATAAAAAGTATGTGAATCAAAATTCTAACTTTAATTTGCAATAATATCTTAACTTTCCATTTAAATTTGGCTCTTTCCCCTTTCTGTCTCAATAATAGTAATTGCTTATATAAAATCTTTCTAAACTGTGCCATTTTAAAATTAACGCATGTCCTGATTCTTCAGAAATCTTAATGAAGATATTTACAGAATGCTTCTGCTAATAATAATTTCAAATTTAGGTACTAAAACTTATTATTAACTGACAATGGTTAAATGTGAACTGAAACCATTCTGAACCAAGCTTTTATGTTAAATAAATTGCACTTCCTCTTCACTTCTCTAGCTAAATTACTAGGTGCTTATCTGTTATCTGGACCACATTCAGAAATGTATATGTGTGTATATACAATATATGTATATATACATACGTGTGTGTATATATACATGCTTACAGAAACACATAGCATCGATACTTACATGCATACACTTCTGAATCTGGTCCAGGTTATTTGTTTTGAATCAAAATTGTTTGCCAGGGGGAATAAAGAGCTATTAAAATGGCCACTACAACTGTAATTTCTTTTCACTTCTTTACGCATCTATAGGTTGCTAACATCAGGTTATTTCCTATATATATACAGTCAAAAGTCGTTAATCCGGACTCGTCGGGACTTCGGCGATTCCGGATTATCGATTTTTCCGGATTATAGATCATCAGTTTAAATCTCGTCAGATGGCATGCAGAAATTCTAAAATTAAAAATATGAAACCGTAATTTATGAAATAAAGAACAATTATGATCTAAAGGGTATCAAAATTTTAAAAAAAAAAAAAAAAACCCTTAATATTTATTTGTTTACTTAGTAAACATTTCTTTCAATGTAGTTGTTTAAGTTGCTTGTTTTATGTGATAATACTTTCTCTTTAATTCTATTAAACAGAATAATTTCTTGTTCAGTTACAAAAGTTTGTTCAAGTCCGTAATTGCTGTGCTGAGAATACCGACTAACTTGTCAATCGAAATTTTTTTCATTTTCACTAACCCTCTCTGTCACATCTTTCAGTCTTTATCCATTTTTTGCCAGCAATTCCACTTTTTGTTTGTTCACATCGAAAATACTGTTTTGTAGATCCTTTGGAGTTCCGCATCGGAAATGACATAATCGAAAGTCAAGTTTACTTTTATAAATTGCTCTTACAGTCTGCAAAGGGATCCAATTCGAAGATTAAAACAACAAACATTAACTGAAATGATAATAGATATTTAGCGTTCGTTCATTAATCGCGCAGGCGAAAACCTATCTGCACTTGCGCACATGCATGCGCAGTTCAAGGTCTTAATAAACGCCTGTGCGCATCCAGCACATGGCAGAAAGTTTAGCTTTCGGATTATAGATCATTTCGGATTATGGGTGTCCGAATTAACGACTTTTGACTGTATATATTATTTTTGCTTTTGTTTTATGAAAAATAATATGTATGGCAGTGGACTCAAACTAGCAGTCTGGAGACTGTGACCCTGAAAGTAAATTTATGCAGCCTGTGAAAGACATTTCAGTTATGTAGTTGTTGCAAATATGATTTTGCAAAGATTTCAAAAGGTTAGTTTATTTAGAGTCTGAATTTATGTTACTTTGATTTCCATTAAAAACAAATATGAATAATGCATAGAAGATCTATAAATGGAGCTAATTAATTTACATTGTAATATAAATCTTATTCAAAGAGTTGGAGGACAAACTTTATTAATTTTAATTCTTCCTTGGCCAAAAAAATATATAAGCTCAGTTATGAATTTTTACACTAAGAATAATTGCTTTGTTTAGGAATAGATTTACATGTGAATAGCGTTTTCCACCGTTGAAAATTAATAAGAACCTGATTGGGCTTTAAGCAACTATAGTCTGTGACAAAATTTCTACACAAGGCTACAAACTTTAGCAGAATCAAAATATCATCAACTGTCAAGAAATAAAGAAGTTTATAATTATTTTCACACAAACATGTATTTTTATTTATGCATTTGAGAAAAATTTAATAAATAAGAGAAAGCGACTAAATTGTTATTATTTACTATTCTCACATTTTGTTCCACGTGGTAGAATTTCATAGAAGATTTAAAAAGCTTTCATAATTTGCTCAGTTTTAGTTTAAAATAAAGTAATCTAAAGATTAAAATAAAGTAATCATTAAACACATTAAAATTATTTGAAATAATGTCAGTCTAAGAATCTGGTATTTCAGTGTCAGTATATTTGAATTGCAAAGTGTAATCAACAAAAATGTCGTAAGTTCCCCAACCCTAGATTTTAGAGAGAAAATAAATACAGTACAAAAGTCCGTAATCCCGACTCTTCGGGACTTCGGTGATTCCGAATTAGGGATTTTTCTGGATTATAGATCATCAATTTAAATCTGGTGAGATGGCATGCAGAAATTATACAATTAAAAATATGAAACCGTAATTTATGAAATAAAGAGCAATTATGGTCATTATCAAATTACAAAAAAAAAAAAGCTGAATATTATGTTACTTTTTAAAATTTCTCTCAATGTAGTTGTTTGTTTTTTGTGCTAATCTTTCTTTTAATTCTATACAGACATAATTCTTTTGTTACAAAGTTCATGTTCAAGTCCGTGCTGTGTCGAGAATACGACTGACTTGTCAATCAAATTTTTTGTTTAGTCCTGTCACTTTCTTCACTATGGAAGTGTATTCTGGATCGGAACTCTACAGATTTCACTGTCGTTAATTGATTGATGTAGATTGGGCAGGTATGCAATGAAAACTTTTAGCCATTTTCATTATTCCTCTTAACATTTCTTTACAAAATCAATAACTGGAAAATTTTATTTTTAGTTTGCAATGTCGAAAACCTTCCAATTTATTTCTCACCAGAATATGTACGTTGCATAAATTATTGCCAAGCATTTTAACGCATCTGGAGACCCATCCTCCCAAGGGCATGCATAAGCATACAAAAAAAAAGTCAGCTTTGAGTTGGATTAGACATTACGGACAATGGGGGGATTACGGATTGTACTGTATAAATTAGACTTTTTTCCCTTTGGAATTATTATTATTGTTGTTGTTTACGTATGTTTTGATAAATGTTTAATAACAAAAATCCTTGAGTTTATTTATTTTTTTCTATTATTACTTATTTTGTATTTAAAAAAAAAAAGAAAAGAGAGAGAGAGAGAGAGAAAAGGAAAGAATAGAAAAGTGGGAAAAAGAAAAACTCTGTCTCCCTCAGCTATATTCAGATTGTGAATTTGGCCCTCATGCAGTTTCAGTTTGAGATACTGATGTATGGTATCTCATTATTTAATAAAATACTTATTTCGTTTTCTAGGTGGTCTGAAAGCTGAACTTCTTGCAGTCTTAATCATTGCTGTAATTTTTATAATTTTGATAGCTTTTGGTGTTCCATTTTACTTTTACTATAAAAAAAAGTAAGTAATTCAGTTTTGTTTCTCAAAGGCACGACTAAGTTCTCAGAATTGATATTTTATATTTTTGAATTTTTTTTTTACATAAGTCATGACTTCATTTTCTTCTTTTAGATATGGACATGATATACCAACAATGTTATATGCCTCTGTGAATCCAGAGTATATGAGTGCAGGTAATTTTTACTGCATTTTTGCTAGTTAGTTAATTTTATTGTGAATAGCAAAAGTTAAGAGTTAGAAAAGAAAGATACCTGAAATCTGAAGTGTTATCCATTGAACTTGTAAACACTTTTCTAAGAAAAGGGTTGGCCTGAACTTATAATATCTATCTCTTGAATAAAATTATGCAAAATAGTAAATCCCCCCTTTTCTGTGTGTGGATAAATATCAAAAGTTATGGACAGAGCAAGGCAAATGTGAATATAGCACCATCTGTTAAGGAAAATAGTAATGAAATCTGAAAAATTAAGGTTTTTAAAAGCATTAGGAAGGACTGGATTGTAAATGATGTCCATTAATTAAAAAAGTTGCTTAGATGCAAACTCCCAGATTTATACCAGCTGAATGTAATCTAAAGTTTTCTATCTGCATTTCTAAAACTATGCATGAATTCAAATTGACAGTTCTTCATTACATTTTAAGAAACACATGCATTTGCCAAAACTTGAGATGAATTATATCATCATAATCTGAGAATTGTCAATTCTACTTTTAATTATTCCTCTATTGCTTATAAATCTTGGTATAGAAACAAACCTGTCTAGAACACTATAAAAAATTCTTTATTCTAAATTCCAAAAGCCTACACCTCAGTCATGTAGGCCTACAAAATCTGTTAATCATTTCACTGTGAATACTTATCCTGTTGTATTTATATTTGTAAAATTAATCTTTCAAAGGATCATATGAAAATATTAAAATATAACTTCAGTTTTTCAAAAATGTGTAACCAGCAGCTCTTCAAATCATTGCTGATATTGAAAAAGCTTTTAAATTCAGTAAAATTTCAAGAGCATGGAAATAGTGCAATAAACCAGTTAATTACTCATAAGGTTATTTTTTAATCTTATTAAGACAAAAGGAAAGCCTTATATGTAATTTATTCTAATCCAAACATTACTTAAAAAGTTGATAAGGGTAGTTATTGTTATAGATAAACATGCCTACACTGATGGAGTCATGAAACTGGTAAATGAAGTCCCATACTGTTCAATCCATGAAGATCCTTCAGCTTCTGACATTTGTAAAGTTAAAACGGGTATTTAGTCTTCTCATATAATCCAAACTCAGGGGGGAACCCTCAGTTAAAACAACCCCCCCCAAAAAAAACCTTCTCATTACATGTACTGCTAAGTTTTGTGCTGTTCTAAAAATTCACAAAACTGGAATTCCTTTTTGCCCTGTGTTTGTAATCATCACACCCTTTAGCCAAATATTTTGTTTGTAGACATTTACTTTCAAGTAATATTTACAGAGTAAAAATTTTTTTTAGATTATCGGTAAAATTTAAAGATATTTCTCTCTAGTGCTTTCTGGTGATATTAAGTCACTGTTACTAATATTCCATTTGAGAGAGCATTAAAATATCTTGAAACCAGACTTTTGGAATTCTATTTCACACATAGTTAAACTGAGAAATTAATTTTCTCTCCATAAAATTTTTTGACAAAAACTCACTTCGTTTTCCAAAATAATTATTATTGCCAAATTAAAGGAATAGGTACAATAATCCCCTCAATCCTGTACTTGCAGTATTTTAACATCAAATTATTGAAAAAAACTAACTTTTTGTCTCTGGATTTCTTGTGTAGATGACACATTCATACTTCTTAGCAGTAATGAAGATTTAACCCAAATTATATATGTTATGAATTTGATTGATCCAGCCATTCAGATCAGAAACTAACAATAGCCTCTTCGTCTTTGATATGCTGATCATTTAGAGTGAGTTTGATTTCAGCAAAACTGTTTATCTGTAAGTCTTTTTGTTTGCCTCTTCGTGCTAAATTATGTCACCTAATAAGTAAAAAATAGATTATCTTATTGTTCTGTGTATTGTTGTCTCCAAGTTTGTCCTTCAGAATCTTTGCTTTGCAGTAAACTCAGCTGCAGTAGCTCCTCATTACACACTGCTCGACATTGAAAATGCAACACCAAGAAGGAGTGGCCATGATGAAATTTGGAAAAAAAGACAGAGACAGCAAGCAGCAATAAGTGATCTTTATTTCAAAATGATAGAATACAGAGCGAGAACGGCGTTGGCTCAGTAGGATGTAGGACCACCGCGGACAGCGATGCACAAAGAAACACGTCTAGGCATAAAGTCAACAAGAGTGTGGAAGGTGTTCTGAGGAATGGCTTTCCATTCCCTTTCAACCATTTGCCACAGTTCGTCTTTCTGAGCGAGGCAGGGGCAGAGTCTGTAAAGGGTGTCCAATGACATCCCACACATGTTCGATTGGTGACAGGTCAGGAGAGTACGGTGGCCAGGGAAGCATCTGTATACCTTGCAGAGCATGTTTGCAGATGCAAGCACTGTGTGGTCGGGCATTATCCTGATAAAAAATTGCATTAGGCAGCCCCTGAAGGTAGGGGTTTGCCACCGGCCGCAGTACATTATCAGTATCATGGTGCCCAGAATACGAACTAGAGGTGACCTGGAATCGTAGGCAATAGTGCTCCAAACCATTATTACATGTTTTCGTGCAGTGGGGTGTTCCACAGTTACTGCCGGATTAGATCTGTCTCCATGTTGATGCACACATGTATGCAGCGACTGTCACTGGATAAACAGCAGCGTGACTCATCTAAGAACATGACATTTCGCCATTATGTCATCCACATAGCTCCAGTCCGGCACCATTCTAAACGTTCATGTCTATGCTGTGGTGTCAATGGCAGTCTTCTTAACGGATGCCATGAGTGCAGGCCACGTTCAACCAATCGACGGGAAATGGTTCTGATCAACACCAGAAGATCCAGGGTATCTTGCACATGCTGCAGAATCACGGTACAAGTGTCTTGCGGAACAGCCACAGCTTGTCGGCGGATGCATCGATCTATGCGTGCTGATGTTACTCTGGCTGCACCTGCACCCCTCCTTCTTCCCACATTTCCTTGTTCCAACCATGTTCGCCATAGCTGATGTACCGTGCTTGCATCCATGTGGATATCAGCTGCAATTTGACGTAAGGACCAACCTTATATCTTACTTCACGTGCATCGGAGAGCTACGCATTTCACATCACTCAATAACGTGCATCTACTCTAAAATTTGCATAAATTTCTGACCACTCTTTCTTGGTGTTGCATTTTCAATGTCGAGCAGTGTACATCATTAACCCATTAGCCGCTGGTGTTGCGTTGACTCAACGGTCAAAATAAATGCGTATATAAATATAACTACCTAAGATATTTTATACCAGCAGGTGATTTTGTGTAGGGAATATTATGAAGATTATTTCTGTAAAAAAATATTTGCCTGCAACAATCATTTTGTTTATAATAATTAGTCTCATACTTTAAGCAAAATTTTCGACCGAGTATTTTTGCTGAAAATGTTTAACGAAAGAATCGCCATCTTTATGAGTGATCTATTTTTAGTCAAGGTCACTGTTTATCAGAACATTACATCAGTCAGATGTTTATATTTGTGTTGGGAAGGAAGGGAAAACAGGATACGGAAAAAATACGGAAATTACTCACTGGCGAGTAACTTGGAGATAGAAAGCCATCAGAACTTCTATGAGTAATGACTAGGCGGGCTGAAAAATACAATGTGTGTGACTCTTTGTTACTGGAATTATTCATGCACCAGATGCCGCCAAATGTTCAGTCTATTTTAGCGTCGGTTGAGCCACTCGATTCATCTAAAGTTGCCAGTATCACGGATAGAATGTTGGAAGTTACACCCGCTCATGTAAGCGAAGTTTCTTCTCGTGTACCTCTCAATGTCTCTGAGAATTCTAAATTGGATTCCCTGCTGGAGGAAGTGTGCAAATTGCGTAGTGAGGTTTTGTCTCTACAACGATCACGCAGTATTTCCAAAAATCGCTATAACAGGAAGCGAAGCCCTTCAGCTAAAGCTGCTTCGAACTGTTCCTATTGTTGGTATCATCATAAATTTAGTGATAAAGCTAAAAAGAGTGTTCCACCATGTACATTCCAGGGAAAGTGTAGTGGCGACATGCGCTTTACCCTCTGAGTCTCGTCGCCTTTTCATTAGAGACAGGAAATCGAATAGAATATTTTTGTGCGACACTGGCTCAGACATCAGTCTTATTTCAGCAACCAGACAGGAAGCGCGTCAAACACCTATTATGATGTTTTTCTGCAGCAAATGGTATTCCTATTTCAGTTTATGGACAAAAAGCATTAAGTATTGACCTTGGACTTCGTCGTAATTTTAATTTCACTTTTTATGTGTGTAAAGTGTCAACAAATATTATTGGATCTGATTTCTTGCACTATTTTGATTTATTACCTGATTTAAGGAACAAAAAACTTGTTGATTTAAAAACACATTTAAAAATTAATTGCGGTGTAATTAACACACGTTTATATTCTGTTAAAACAATTATAATAAATTGTATTTATGATAAATTACTGTCTAACTATCCTTCACTGTGAAACCTTCCTGATCTCAATGAAACTCTTAAGCATAATACTATGCATTTCATTGAAACCGTTGGTCCTCCTGTTTCATGTAAGCCAAGGAGATTAGCTCCAGATAGATTAAAAATTGCTAAGCAGGAAATTCAGAAAATGATCAATTTAGGTCACATGCGACCCTCCAAAAGTAATTACTCCTCTCCTCTTCACATGGTGTCGAAAAAGGGCACAAACGAATTGAGACCTGTGGGAGATTTCCAGAGGTAAACGCTGAGACAGGGAAGGGTAAGTATCCTATTCCCAATATTTGCGATTTTGCAGCAGAGTTACATGGAACAAAGGTATTTTCTCGATTAGATTTGGTTAAAGCATATTACCAAGTTCCAATTAATCTCTCTGATATCCATAAAACGGCTATTGCCACTCCTTTTGAACTTTTTGAGAGCACAAGAGCAATTTGGGTTATGCAATGCAGCTGCAACCTTTCAACGCTTTATTGATGAAGTAACTCGCGAGCTGCCAGGAGTATTTGCTTTTGTCGATGATATATTGATAGCGTCGA